AAAGAAGAAATGAGGGAGGCCCCCCCACAGTAGCTCCCCTACCACACTGAGAGCGGGCGTAGCAATGGCCAGCCCAGCCCCCCTCACTGCCACCAGTGAGCCCCCAGCCCAGCCCCCCTCACTGCCACCAGTGAGCCCCCAGCCCAGCCCCCCTCACTGCCACCAGTGAGCCCCCAGCCCAGCCCCACTCACTGCCACCAGTGAGCCCCTAGCCCAGCCCCACTCACTGCCACCAATGAGCCCCCAGCTCAGCCCCCCTCACTGCCACCAATGAGCCCATTGTGCAGTAAATTGTAGGGCTCTGTGGAGCTGCCCCTGCAGGAGGCTCCCTGCTATTTATTTTCTCAAGGCTGCACACTCCCACTTCCCAATCACCTTCTCTAAATTGAGTGCCTCTTGGCTAAAATAACTTTGGTTAACAATAGCAGCTCTGAATCACTACTTCCCCAAATAGAGCAGAATGACTGGGAACTGCTCTTTCTTCTGAAAGCCCAGCAGGTATGGAAATAGACCACAGCCCCTGGACAGGGCAGTCCCCCAGGCATAACTGGGACTCACTCTGCCTGGTCTGACTCCCCCATGTTACAGATGGGGGGCTTGGGCCCAGATAAGAAATGGGGCTGGGGGCCTGCCAAGGTGACAGCTGGCCAGGGCCAAGTATCCAAATGCCCCTCCTGGTGTTCTTTGTCCCCTCAGGCTCAGTCCTCTCTGACCCTTTGCCTCAGGGGCAGTAGTGGAACTGCCCTGCAACCCACAGTACAAGGGTGCCTTGCACAGATAAAGAAAGGGGTAGTAGCTTTCTAATTTGTAAGCTCTAATCTGTCTAAGTAGAGAACTCTGTCCCTAAGGAGGTTCCTTGGTTCAACAAAGTAACCCTTCCCCCGTTTACCAAGCACCTACAAAGAGCCAAGTGCGGGCTCTGCTCTCCAGAGATGGATGGTTCCCCACGTTCTGGACATGGCCACTCTCCTGGCCCCACCCTGGCCAACTGCAACAAGAACTCTGCTCACAGCGCCCAGGCATGGGGGCCAGGGATGTCCTCTATACATCCTCTGGAAGCTTTGGATTCCCTCGTAATATGGATCCCAAATGTGTGTAATGCATCATCCCAGGGGAGGGGTAAAGGGAGTTTCACCAACCAAGCTGAGGGAGGCCCCGAATATGGGGAGATTTTAGGGTACTTCCCCTATAAGCAGCAAAGTAACTAGACAGAACTATGAGACAAAGCCCTTCCTCTTATCTAGCCTGCCGACCAGGTGAAGATCACTCCTGCCTCTGTCTGCCTGGGTGGCACATGGTGCAAGTGCTGGGGGCTCTCCTATTCTGGCATGCTCTGGAAAGTTGCTGCAGACTCTGCTTTGCAGGGGAGTAATTAGGGTAGCCGAATAACAGCCCTGCATCAGCTGACATCTGTCCATCCAGAAGTGTCCACAGCTGCCACTGTGGCTGTGCCCACCTGAAGGGAACCTCCTTCCTTCTGCCCAGGCTTTATCTGGTCCTTCTGAGGTCATCAGGAAACTCCCAAGTGTCCACCCAAGCAGCTGGCCTGCACCGGCTGCTCTGCAGAGCCCACTGCCTGGAAACTTGCTCCTGTGTCATTTGTCCCCCTCCCTCTGTTCATATCAACACAGCCCCTGGTTCTCTGTGGGCTGGCCATGTGAACAAACCCCAGCCCTGGCAAGCACTAACGGGATGTAGCTAGAGCTCCGATAAATTATTCATTAAAAAACCAGGCAGGTTGTTGGGGCTTCTCCAGATAGCCAGCATGAGATCACAGCCACCATGAGCCCATGAAGACTGTTTGGAGACCTAGATGCCCCATGGACTCAGCAGAGACCCCAGGCCCTCACCAGGACCAGCCCTGGTGGCCAGCCCCATGGCCCAGGCAGGCTGCTGCGTGCCCTGGTCATCTGGGCCATTTCCACATCCTCACTCCTTTCTCACCCCAGATACCTCTCCCCATCCTTCTTGAGCCAACCCACAATTTCAGCCATAAAAGAAGTGAGTCCCTACAGACCCATCTGTGCAGGACACAGGTAGAGGGGCTGGGTGACCAGTCGCCTCCATTCTGAGTCTCTGCCCTGGGCCCCTAGTCCCCCAGCCCCTCCTGCAGGACCCCGAGCCTGCCCAGCTTTCCCCAGCCCAAATCCCAAATCGATGTCCTTACCCGATCTCCCTTGATGCCCATGTCGCCTTTAAAGCCAGGAAAGCCATCTTCACCCTGCACGAGAGACAAGAGGATGTCTCAGTCTGGGCACAAGGACCCACCTCCCAGAGCCACTCAGCACAAGGTCCCCCAATCTTGGGGCTGTAGCACATGGCCTGGCAAGGAGTGAGGTGCTAGTCCCCGTGAATGCCTTTCCTATTACTCCTTTGCATTTCCAGACATAACGCTCTGTGGTTCTGGCTGGCTCAGTCTAGCAGAGGCCCTGGTCTGGGGGAGGGCCCAGTCTGGCCCTGAACCTTCTGTGTGGCTGGTCTGGGGGAGGCGGCCCGAGCTTGGGCATCATTCCTCATAGCAGCTCTGCCCTGTCCGCCTAGCACTGCAGCTCTCTAATGTATGAACAGAGTCGGGGTGGTGGAGGTGCCCCCAAACAAACCCTACTGGCCTCGCAGGTACTGCCACCTGGGAAGGCAGGCCACAGAGACCCGGAGCCATCAGTGCTTCTTGGGAATCGGGGAGTCACAGGTAAGGCTGCCAATGACCTGCTGGGCCCTGGGTCTGGTCCTTCCCATGCAGGAAACCACAGAGGGACCCGGAGCCTCTCCTGCAGGGCGTGGCTGGCACCAAGAGAGTGGCCTTGGCTGGGTCTTATGCTCAGGATTCAGGGGTCACATCTTAATACAACAAGAGTGAAAGGCCAGCAGCTGGGGACCCAGCCAGGCCATAAAATCTCAGGGCCCTGCCAGGACCTGGCACAGAGCAGGCCAGCTTTCTGTGACATGGTGAAGATCCGGCCATCCCGTCCAGCTGCGGCCCAAGGTCCTCGTCCACAGTGTTCTTGAAGTGCTGGCAGTGTATCAGCAGTGGCCACACATAATACAAGAAGCCCACAAAGACGGCTCCTCACCACTGCCTTCTCCCACCCAGACAGTCTCAGGCTTCCTGCCGGGCCGGGGACAGCATAGTGACTCCCCGTGAGGAGGCATCCTCAGCACAGTCCAGTCAGCACCCTCTCAAGCGGCCCTGTCTCTGGCGTGAGCAGATGCAGTGACCACGGTGGGACACTGAGAGACCATCTTCTAAAAGATAAGAGGTCCCTAGCGAAGGTACCCCCCCAGAAACCAGTGTGCCAGGAATTCTGGGACTCAGGGACCTGCAAACAGCCCTGCCAGGGGCACCAACTGTAAGGGGATTCCCTGTCCCTAGACTCCAGAGAGCTCCATTTAGAAGGCAGTGCTCTCGGGTGGCGGAGTTGCTGAGAAGCTGCCCCAGAACAGACATAGGCTCAGGGCTCTGCCACGTAGGAGACAGTCTCTGGAAAGCACCAAGACAGCACCCTCCCGCTTTGCTGGTCCGACCACCGGGGCAGCAGACTAGGGTGCTTAGCAAACGCCACCACGCAAGGGCCTTTTAGCTGATGCATTATTTCTGCTCCATGTGAACACTGAGTAGGTCGCCTCAAGAATAGTTTTAAGACCAGCAGATGCCACGGAAAGGATCCGGGCAGCTCCAGCCACAGGTGCCAAGTGAGGGGGTGCCGAGTGAGGGGCTGCCGAGTGAGGGGCTACAACACGCACACCATCTCAGCACAAGCACAGACACCAGGCACCCCACACAGCCCTGCAGGCCCCTGCATCGCTGGGAAACCCCGCGGTCTGCCTGGCAATGGAGCCTGGCGCACCTTATGGACAACACGTCCAGGGGCTGCACAGAATGCAGGGACACCCACAACAGAACAGAGGCCAAGATGGGAAGTCAGGCACAGAGCGAGCTGAGCGAGCGGCACCAAATCTGAGTCCAAATCTGTGCCTGGACTGAGCATTGAACTTGGCTCTGAACTTTCTTCCTCCAAAACAGAGATGAAAGTGTCCAGCCACAGAGGTGCACGTTGTTCAGAATGCCACAGCTACAGGGTATGTGGAACATTCCAACTGGCAGCCTGTAGTGGCACCTTGTAGCTTTGTGTTAACCAGAACGATCCCTCTAGGCCTGACCTCATCCCTGGCCACAGGCAACAGCATGGTTCTCTGAGCCACACTGCAATGCTCATCAACGCCGCCTGTCACCAAGCCAGGTGGGCCATGCCTGATGCAGTCACCTGGCAGCACCGTTCTGCCCTCAGAGCTGGGTGGGGCCCGGTAGCCAGCTCATCGCCCCCCCCTTGCCTGGCTCTGCTACATGATGTGAGTTTCTGCAGCTCGAGAGGCTGCCCAGGGAAGAACATTTAACAACTAAATAGACCTTTCTGCTAGCTGCCTCCCTCCCTTCCACTGGGGAGGAAACATGGGGTGGAAGGTTGCCCGCTGGTCCCTGGAGGGCAATGGGGGGCTGTGCATTGCTTCTGGGGGTGGGTACACAAGCCCAGACACCCTCAGCCCCAGCGGCGACGTGCCCAGGGCCCATCCTCCTCAACTTGTTTTCCTTTTTGTAACCCACATACCTCCCGCAATGCAGTGTCACCCCCCTCCACATTCAGGGTGACATCCTCCTGCACCTGGTGGGAATCCGCTCTGGACTGGGCCGGGCTACTGCTGGAGGAACACACTCACCTTCTCACCCTTGGTGCCCTTCAGGCCACGGATGCCATCTGCGCCCTGTGCAGCAGAGAAGGAAGAAGGGACAGCAGTTACAGGAGGGAGGCTCTGCTGAGCTCCCGCTCCCGCAGGCACAAGTCAAAGCCCAGAGCGCCAAGAAAGGCTAGACTTTCCACAGCTGGAGGTGGGCCCAGCTGCCTGCCCCTCAGACAAGCTCTTTGGCACAAGTCTCTAGTTGAAGGAAGAGGCTCTCCCGTCCTCATACAGCCTGCGCCCAAGGCCCAAGAGAGACTCAGTGTTTGTGGTTCTTGGGCTGACTTCCATGGACTCCTCCCCTTTGTGCAGGAGACCCAAACCCACCCCAGCCCTTCCAGGGACCCTTAGCCAGCACAATCTGCTAATACGTCAGACATCTTGGAAGGAAGTGGGGCATGGTATGTGGGTCAGGACAACTTGTCTGGGTCCCAGACCCTGCTCTGTGGCCTCTAACAGTGTCCTAGACTTCTGTGTGCATCAGTTACCTCGCTCAGGGAGTAGAGATGACAGCCCTTACCTCTTGACTGCTGCTGGGAGGGGCACAGGTGTGAGGCCTACAGGACCGCACCAGGCACACAGCAGGTGTGTAATAACCAGTAGCTGCATACCATCTGGTTATTTTAATTCTGTACTATCATTAATGTATGACATGTTATAATATCATCAATTAATGATAACAACAATAATTACTATGCCTGTAATCAGTTCAAGACACACCATTGCCTCTCCCTGCTACTCAAGAATCTCCAGGACAGGCCCAGGCAGCTTTCCCAGTGTTCTCACCGAGCCAAGAGCCTCCGTCAGGGGAGACGGACCTGGTGGAATTACGCAGCCATGTCCTCACTATTAATGCCTGACCTCTGACCTCCCAGCAGGGAGGCCACGAGCTCTAGAGACTGACCACTGACTCCAGTGGGTGCCTCAGCCCCCTTCCCATGGGGCACCCGAGAGAGCCAGGCCTCCCTCCCAACCAGGCTCCCAGTCCAGGCTGCAGGAGGGTCTGGGAGCCACCTCCTTTGAGGACCCAGGAGTCACCAGCTGCCCTCTTGTGGCCAGAACCTTCCAAAGACCTTGCAGCTCTGGCCGCTTCCTGGGTCCTGGGGAAGGAGGGCTGGAGACAGGTGCTCTGCAGAGCCCTGGGGTTGGGGCTGCATGGCCCTCCCTGGAGAAGCAGCATGATGGGTCACTGCAGTTCCCTTGAACTGATCACCCGAGGACTCGGAGCATCGGGAGATGCCAGCAAGCTAAGCCAGGCACACCTGCACACTCAGCTGTCAACAGTGACAGCTGCTCTGGGCCCAGCCCACTACCACTGATGGAGAGGCACCTGACACATGGATCCAGGCCTTGGGGCAAAGCCAAGGTACCCAGAAGGTCAGGGCAACCTGAGGAAGCTGGCAGCTGGGGACAACTCCTGCTCACGGAGCCTAACACTAGGTACACTGACGGGGACAGCACCACAGGTCCCTGGAACCTCCCTCAACACCCAATCCATCGGCAGAGAGGCCGAGGCTTAACGATCTCCCTCGTGCTTGCTTCCACCTGAGCCTCTGATGGGAAACACAAATACAGGGCAAGTCCACAGTGGAGGCAGCCCAGCCGCGTTTGTGAGCTAGCGCCCCTGGGGTGGCCCGCTGCAGCCAGCGCCTGGCACAGCCCCTGCACACCCAAGCACTGGAAACATGTTAGCCCACTGCCCGCAGGCCCGTGCTCTCCAGGCACTTTTGTTTTGTTTTCTAGCAGGTCAGCTCCTTCCAGAGTGGTCCTGACCAGAAGCCCCAAGGGGCCAAGAGAACAGGTGGGCCACTGGGGCTGACCGGGGCAGGGGCACACAGAGGCTCTCTCTGACTCACTGCATCCAGGCTTCTCCACAGAGCAGGCTTTCAAAATAGCACTAGAACCCCACACAGGAGGACTTGTTAGGAGAGGAGGTATTTTCCTTTTTAAGGCAGTTTTGAATTCTCTACACACTTGTTAAATAAGATAGTAATTTTAGATTCCACTTATTTCCTTTGAAGCTCATCTAAAAATCACAGATGTGGTGGAGAATACAAAAAGGATGTAACCAACGTGGGGACCCAGGTTTAACCTGCTCAGGTATGCTAGCTCCTCAGCGTCCGGCACCGTCTGGCTCTCGATCCCCTGTCTGGTGCGAGCCCAGCAGCAGGGTCTGTGCATTTGGCATATCTTTCCAGTAGTGCTAAACACCCTGGTGGGGGATCTGGCACCACTGTCTTCCCTCTGGCTGGGTGGGCTGGGGACACCACCCACCCTGCCCTGCCCACCCTTCTGAAAAGAAGATAAGAGAATCACCAAGATGCCTCCCAGGCCTTATGATCCATGCCAGAGGACTGGGACCAACTACACAGGAATGGGGTTTCCCAGCTGCAGAACTTCTGACCTTTGGGCCAGGTAACTCCTTGTCTTGAGGGGTTGTCACATGCACTGTGGGGGTTCAGCAACACCCCTGGCTTCTGCACACTAGATGACAGTGAACCTCCGTAGTCACACAGGAACTGACCTCTGTTGAGACTGGCTGAGCCGGGGCATCCTTACAGCAGCAGTGGGCCGCTGTGAGCAAGGGAAGCAAGGCAGCCACAGCTACCTTGCCTTTTATATGAGCTTCAGAACGGCAGGGGGCAGACGTGGGAACAGCCCAGAGAGTGGCAGGGTTTTTGCCTAGGCCTGGGGAGGAATTCACAGCAGCTGTGAGCTCTTAAAGGGTGGTCTGATTTTGCTGATAGTGAAGCCCTTCAGAAGGGCAAGGGCAGAACAAAGCCCAAAGAAAAGTTAAAGGTTAAGTGAAACCAAAGGAACATCATGCTATGCTCTGAGTATCATGTCTCCCAAAATTTATATGGTGAAACCTAACAACCAATGCAACAGTATTAAGAAGTGAGGCCTTGGGAGGTGCCTAGGTCATGAAGGTGGGGCCCTTGTGAGCATGATTAGTGCCCTTGTTCCAGGCCCAAAGGTGCTTTTTGCCCCTCCTGCTATGTGAAGAGCTGCCTAGGAACTGGCGAGCAGCCCTTACCAGACACCAGGTCTGCCAGCACCTTGATCTTGGACTTCCCAGCCTCTAGAACTGCAAGAAATAATTTTCTGTTGTTTATAATCTATGCAGTTTGTGGTATTTGGGGGACATCAGCCTGAACAAAGACAAAATCCTTTCTCAGGAAGAGCATAGGGCTTTGGTGGAAGGTAACTAGTTATCTCTTACCAGGGACTGTCTCTAATGGTGACAGTTCAGCAGGCGTCCTGCCTGCTGCCACCATCACTGCCATTTGGGCCAAGGCTCAATAGGTGGCTGGAGCCACTCACGCTATCTAACTCACAGGAGTACCAGCATCTATTTTCCCAGCCAAAACTGTTCCAAACCTGGGTTTTCCTTCCACCCTCCGCTTCCAAGTCTAACTGGATTGCTCATGTCGTGAATGAATTTCAATCAGATAGACAAGATAAGAGCATTCTCCATAAACATTTTAAAGCAAACACCTTTTTAGCTCACAGAAGCAGCATTATGCAATTAGCCATGTATGGGAGCTGGCAAAGACTTTGCTACGCGAGAAGAATTTATAAGATACACATGCATCGAACACACATAATCAGCATTTCTGCTAAATTATAACCCTTATAAAATTCTCTAGGTGTTTTGCTGGTAAAAAATGCTTTAGGGAGAAACCTGACAGGCCCCAGGCCCCCACCCATTGGGAGGTCTCTCCTCAGTGGACCCTGAACTTGGAACATCCTGATTTCTGGGAAAAGGAAGTCGGGGCCACCCAGGGACAAAGCCCAGGCACTTAATTAGGAATCAGTAAATCCAGCTTGAGTTCCTCCTGACTGCAGTGTCAATTTTAGTGTAATTTGGGGCAAATCACTGAAAACTGAGGTCTTAGGTTCTCCCTCCCCCAAACCCCAGGGCAGCCACGCACTTGTGATGTGCAGCGAGGCTTGGCAAGCGTGACGAGGCATCTGGGGCTATGCAGATGCGGGCAGGGGGCTTAGCAGCGTCTTTATGCAAATCCCTCCAGCTAAATCAGTTGAGATATGTAGTGTATATTTTCTCTCACATCCAGTTAAAATCATTTTGACAGAAAGAATCATCATGAACTTCCCTATGCAGCTTCTCCGCGGCATCACTGCTCTCAGAGAAGCTTATGTGCACACCTCCTTAGGGGCGCGTCCCTCTGCGCACACAAATGCTGACGTGTCCGGGGAGCCGCTGCACAGAGCAGACACGGCCAGGGCGACGCCACAGAAGGGCCTGTGTGCTGGACCCCACCTCGGAGCTCTGTGCCCCATGTAACATAGTTCTAGGAAGAGCCAGAATGGCAGAAACCAGCTTTGAATGAATGGACACTAGCCATGAAACCCACTGGGCACCACACGGACCCGCCCAGGGGCTATTGATAGGGACAGACTCTCTTCTTCACTCTTTGAATGTGCCAGTGGCTCAGAAGAAATATTTCCGAGCTTCCCCGAAAAAGCGGCTGTGGCTGCTGTCTGTGAGGATAGCAGGAGCCTGATAGAGGGACACACTGAAAGGCATCAGGCCAAAAGGACGTCCCCATCCTGACAGATGGGCACGGGCTTGCTGGCAGCTTTGTCACGGACTGGCTAAAGACTGTCCTTACTCCCAATCAGCTCTCTCCTGCTAAGACCCACTGCCCCAGGACCCAGTGATCCCATTCAGGACTGGAAGGACCAGGTCATTCCAGCTTGGGCTGGAGGGCATTTAACCACAGAGGAACTGCCATGCTCTTGGGGAGACCTGCACCCATCTCTCTCACCTTGACTCCTCGAGGACCTGGGTAACCAATGGGACCCTGAGGGCCAGGAGGACCCTAAAATGAGAAGAAAAAGAGACCATCAGCTACATGTCGGATTGGGGTGCCCGGGTCATTCCAGTGCAAGGCAGAGTGCCCCCAGCCAAATCCCTCCTGCTGTGAGCAAAGGCAGCGTCCCAGGTGAGGCCTCCAAAGAGGCTCCTATGGGGATGCCAGAGGCACCTGTGCCCGCCCCATAGGCCCTGCCCTAAAGCTGGAACAGCAGGCTGTGCCTATGATAAGCAGGGACATCTGAGGCCAGTTAAGCCCCTGGGCCATGTCAGCAGCCTAGGAACTAAGGGGTGGGCCAGGGTAAAAGGCTGGCTTTGCTGCTCTGGGAGGCGGAGTCACCCTTGAAGAAACACACACTGAGCCCAGGGCCCCAGCAGAAAACAGGAAGGAGAGCCTCTGGCTGGGAGAAGGGACAGGGGCTGGGTGTCTGGAGCACGATGTCCTCCAACAGTCAGAGGGCCTTGGTGATGACCGCCCAGAGCTCCCTGGGGTGGGGCATGCCCCCTGGTGGGGCATCAACCCCAGGAGACCTCTGCACTGGACGGCCCCCACCACATCCTCTCAGGCCCTCTCCTCACAATGATTGTGACAACAGCCATCAGCACCGGAGAGGATCAGCTCTGCGAGGGCAGGGCCCCATCTTCCTGGCACACAGTGGAACTGAGCCTGGTAAGTTCCGGGGGAATGGCCCTTGTTCAGGTTGGAAAGTCAGTTCCCAGAATGGCAGGTGCTCAGGGGGCTCTAGGCCCTGACAGCTGATCAGCACAACCCCAGGTGGCCCCAGTATGCCTCCATCTCTGACCGAGGGCCAGAGGCTGTGCCCAGGGACGGGGATACATCTGAGCCAGTGCTGGCCCTGTGTGGTTAAGACCTAGGGGACAGAGCTCAGATTGGCCAGCCCCTTGAGGACCCAGGAGGACACAGTCTGAGACCCTGAGTCATTCTTGCCCCTCAAGTCCGTGAACGTTCAAGGGAACAGCAGTCTGCAAGGCAGGAGCCTGTACCAGCCTGGGCACACAAGAGGCACAGGTGGGCCTTTGCCACTAGCAGTGCACAAACCCCACACATCCTGGGCTCAGGATGAAAGAGCCGGATGGGCCACTAGGAGCCGCCCCCCAGCCAGGGGGCTATAGGAAAGTGAGGGTGCAGCCATCTACAGGGCCTGCTAGGGCTTGGCTTTCCATCCAGACCCATGATAAAGCACCCACTAGCAATGGGGCAAGTGTCTCCTATGGGAAGGATTGCTGCAGGGAGGTTTGCCCCACTGGCCACTGTGACTTCCAGGGGAGGGGGGAGAAAAAGGGAGAGGAGGCAGGGGGAAGGGTCATCAGGCCTCTCCAGCTCTTAAAGGCTACAAAGCACTTCAGCAGGTTGGGGAAGGGGGACTGGCCACAGTCCCTGCTGTTCCTGGAGACTCTGCCCTAGCCCCACCACATCCCTGGCAGGGGTGCACTGACCCAGACAGGGGGCACCTCATGGGCAATAATGGGGACCCTGTTTCCTGGGAGGGAAAGTCTGGGTGTCCTCGGCAGAGACACTTGAGCATGAGCTGAAGCTGGGGTATCCTGGAGTGGAGACTGAGCCTCAAGCTCCAAGGCCCACCTGCCCAGGACGCTGAGAGGAGAGAGGAGGGCAGGGCGTGGCGAGTACCCACCTGACCGCCTTTCTCTCCCGGAGGGCCTTCTTTGCCAGGGTGCCCCTGTCAGAAAAGAAAAGGCCTTGGTTAGACATTGGCCACCCAAGAAAGTAGCCTCCTTCAGGCTTCTGCTCCCCCCACAGCACCAGAGCACATGGCTCTGATGGTTGAAGTTCCCTCATTTCCTTCCCTTGCCAGGAGCAGGATGAGCGCAGAAGTCCTTGACAGCAGGAGAGCAACCAAGCACAGCTGCCCGCTCCCAGCCCTCAGCCTGAACTAGTCAGCCCAGAGCTTCAGTTGCCTCATCTGCACAGTGGGGACCACAACACCTTGTCAGTCCTCGCCGGGCCGGGAATGTCTGCACATGGTGGGCACAGTGGCTCTTGGCTCAGCTCACCCTCTAATGCAGCTTCCACAGGCCACAGACCCATGACTGAGGATGGGATAAGGAAGGCACCTGCTCCAGGTCATCTGTGGGGTCTGGGGTTGGGCTCAGGCTCTGGGCGCTGCACTTCAGGACTAGTAGACCCAGGAACCTCTGACCATCAGGGTTAGGGGGGGAGCCAGAGGAAGGCAAAGCCTGTCACCTGGCTGAGGGGCCCCAGCACATCCCCAGGTGTGCCTTGGTTACGCCCCCCTCCCCTGGGCCTGGGCCAATCCCATTCCCAGGGATGCAAGTTTCTCTGACTTCCCATAGTGATAAAAGTAGAAGGACCAGTGTTCACCACGTGGGGACACAGGCTCACCACGAGGATCCCAGTGGAGAGGCCCTGTGGTGTGGTGAGGGGCTGGCCGGGCACGGTCTGACTCCCCTGCATCCCCCACCCACCTGGTGACTGTGGACCTGGATGAGATGCCCTTCGACTGAGCACCCTAAGGCTCTGGGACTCTCCAGACATGGCAGGTTTAAGGAGACCCCAGACACATCTCTCAATAAATGATTTGTATGTGGCTTTTCAGAGACTGGGTATTCTACTCTGTCACCCAGGCTGGAGGGAAGTGGCACAATCATAGTTCAGTCCCTACAGCCTCGAACTCCGGGCCTCAAGTGATCCTCCAGAGTAGCTAGGACTATAGGTATGCACCACCATGTCTGGCTAATTTTTTTTGTTTTTGTAGATATGGAGTCTATGTACCTAGGCTGATCTGAAACTCCTGGGCTCAAGCAACCTTCCACCTCAGCTTTCCAAAGTGCTGGGATTACAGGTGTGTGCCACTCTGCCCAGCGTCAAGGGTGGTTTTTATACTTTTATTAGTTGTGCAATTGGACTTGATGCCTTTGCAAATAGCCTGTCAGGGTGCAAATGGTCCCTTCTGGGGAGCCGGTGGCCTGGGGAGTCTTTGAGGAAATTCAGGCTCTGCTAAGGACACACTTGGTCTCTGGTCCAGAGGGGGCACACTCAGTGTTCCCACTATGAGGTTCACAGCACCAGCACCTCATAGTGGCAGGGCTGGACCCAAATAGCAACAAGGACAGGTTCTTTGTGGGTTTTTATCCCAGCTCCACCAACCACAGCCCTTTTTGTGTTAAGCAACTTGGAGTGGGGGGCATCTGTGGGTGGCCGAGTGCCAGGCTCCAGAATGATGCACTGTGGGGCAGACTCCAAACCTCAGTCACTCAGGGAGGCCAGCTGACCTCATCACATGATGACTCCTCAGTCAGGTGCTGGAGACACCAGCCTGCAGCAGGGCTGCTGCACGGACTGACCCCCAGTACCCACGAAGCGCTCACGCACGCCCCCAACCACAAACGCCAGCAAACACCAACTGCTGTGCTGAGGTCAAATTTCTTCAGATATATTTTAAGTTGTATTTACAGACTGTGAGTAACTGGGGCTGGGAGGAGGGAGGACAAAATTTGCTCAGTAAAAATGTTTGAACAGAAAAAGACTGAAAGGAAACAGAAGACAATAACAGGAGTGATTGATCTTTCCGAGCGAAAGGCCAGGCCTGTTCCCTGTTTTCTCTACACTTGTTTGCGTTTTCCAATATTCTGTAATGAGCGTTACTCTTATAATGGAAAAATAATAAAGCTTAAGTTATTTGTATTAGATACTTCCCTGATTAAAAAAGTAATATATGTTCATTGTAAGCAATTAGGCAAGTGGAGAGGAGATTAAAATCCTTCATAAGCTCAGCACGCAGAGTGACGGTGGCTAATTGCATGGATACAGTCCTTCTAATCCATTTTCTCTGCATATATGCATGCAGAATTGGCATGGTATGATCTATTTCTAATTTAATATTACACTGTGAGCATCTTCTCATGTCACAGAATATTTGCTGCAATTTAATTTTTGCTGGCTCCATAATATTCCATTGAACCATAATTCATTTTATCGCATCCCTGCGGTGTGCCATCAGGAATTATTTAACAATCTACTTCAGTGTGTTGGGCCTGCTTTGCCGCTTCGAAATACCTAATACTTCTTGATGGGTTTTAAATCAATCTTCCTTTCTTCAAAACCAAAACCAAACCCCCTACCGTGCTACCTTTCTAAAGGAGATTTTCTTTAAATCATTTTTTTTTCTTCTAGATTCACATAGGACCACTGGATCTGGGTAGCGGAGCTGACTGATTTTTCCCTTTTGTTTGAAGGACCTCCAACCGTGAGCTGGCTCTGCTAGACTCAAATACACCCGCCTTCCAAAGGTGTGAGTGCAGGTTGGGGAGTCCGTGAAGGGCAAGGCGAGGGTACCTCAAAGGCACTCTCTACTCTTTGTTTCCACTAAATAGGAATGGAACCTGGGTACCCTAATTCATTGCTGGTTTCAATGTGGGGAGGGGGATTTCAGGACAGAACAGTCAGGTCAGCCGCGGGCCCACAGATAACAGTCCAGCAAGGAAAGGGGGTGCAGCCTGCCCCACACCCAGGCTCGGCTGTCCCTCAGGGCCAGGCCTGGCCATCAGCATCACACACTGAGGAAAGGAGCAGGAAGAGCGGCAGGAGGGACACACGTCACCCTGTCCCCAGTGGCTCCACCCACGGGGACCAGATGGGGTGGTTTCCACTTGGTTGTCATTTTATTTATTTTCCTAATTTTGTATAACAAGATGTGCTATTTTTATAATTAGAAAATGCAAATAAATACAAATGTACATTAAAGGACACAAAGGACCCATTGGAAAAGATTAATCCCTTAGTGTGCAGGTGTGGCCAGGCAACTGCAGGTCTCCAAAGAGGTCCACACAGTGACGAGAATGACCACAGACTGCTTATTCCCATCAAGGAAGGGCAATTTGTGATTTGCGATTCACTGGACCAAATATTCTCAGCCACAGGAACGCCATGCGGTAAGCAGCCACCAATTAATTGTCAACATATTTAACTTTCTCGTTTAGTTTTTAATGGCCTTATTAAAACCATAAAATATGCTGCGTTTTAAATAATTCATTTAGCTAATCTTGTGTTCTGAAATAGGCTCTCTTTCAGCATCAACTAAATAACCTCCCCCCCAAAATAACAGCCAGCAGCAACTTAGAGAGAAGGTGGTGGGTACAGGCTCACACTCAGGCACACACACGCATGCACATTTGCACACACGTGTCCCGAGCATCTTCCACTTCCCCACACCACCCCCTCCACACAGCTTGGCTACAGATTGGACTTGTCACTAACTCGCTATTTCCAGGCAGAATCTAATTTAGCTCCACAGCTGTGCACTCACACATCGCAAACACATTTGCTCACTGCTCTCCCTTCTCAGTGCGTGAATGCTAAAAATATACCCGGCCCACCGTGCTTTGCTTCCAGCACCGGGGACGCACGCGAGGGCTCAGCGCCCGGCCGGGCCCTACTCATCGCTCAGAACTGGAGGCTGAGTTCTGGTAATTACACAGCGCCCCAGTAAGTAACTAACACTCCACCCTTCGGTGAAAACACACTGTGCAAAGCGTGTCCAAAACCCAGTAACCACTGAGCAGTCAGGCTCCAAAATAAATGGGTCTTCAAAACACAGCCAAAGAGAGCCAGTGATGTCCGATAAGCCTGGGTCCTCAGCCCTATCAAGTGTGCAGACAGGGCAGGGCATGGAGGGCTAAGGGGGAAGGGCTACTCACCGGGGGTCCGTCGGCACCGGGCATTCCTGGAAGGCCTGGTTTACCCAAGGGACCCTAGAACAAACCAAACTCTGTTAGGAAACACTTGGGCTTACCCAACCTCTCTATGTCCCCAATGTCACTGTTCAACGTTTCTGCCTCAGGAAGTACAGCCAGAGGTGCTCAACTCCCACTAATGGGAAGCACCAGGCACCTGCAGCTCCCACAGAGAAGGTGCCGCTCCCTCTTGGTGTTCCCTGAGCCTTTGAGTTTCACTATAGGAACAAAATCGCCCCACCAAGCATTTCGCCCCTTCTCTCCTCACCTCTGCTGCCCGAGGAGCCTTTCCCGAAGGCCTCCTCTGCCCCTCACGTTGCTATGTTTTCCTTGTGCCCCTCCTCCTGGTAGCCCAGCCCTCCCAGGTCCATTCACACAAACATCTCCAGAGCTTGGCACAGTGGTCTAGCCTAGGGCATGTAGTATCCCTTTGGCAGCTGGGGGTCCCAAGCCTGGCAGCCTCCCAGCCCTCTGCATTTCTAGGGATTCCCATGACAGGGTTACCCCGAGAGGCGCTCGTGATACCCTAACTGCCTAGTGCCTGGCTAAGGCACAAGCTGTCACCCCAGGGCTTAGGACATGGCAGGTGCTGAAGACATACTTAGGGTTGCCAGATTTAGCAAAACAAAACTAAGAGCAACAACAGCAACAAAACAAGATGCCCAGTTAAATTTTTATTTTAGATTAAAAAAATAGGTCAACTGTAACCAGGTGTCCTGCATTATTTTTCTTGTTAAATCTGGCAACCTCCATACATGCTAAAGAATGAATGAACAAGTCTAAGAATCACTGAGGAATAAAACCCCAAGATCTTGCTCATGTCTGTCACTCAGGTCCTAGGACTCAGGCCTCAGTGCCTCTGGGTGACCCTAGGCACACGCTGTGAGCCAGCAGCAACCAAGGTCCCAGGCCAGGCCAGGAAGTACTCCTACAGGTGCATGGCGGCCGTCACCACGCAGCCTGGGCCCTCCTACCTTTTCTCCTGGTGGACCGATTGCACCTTGGGGGCCTGGAAGACCCTAGGGTAGGAAAGAAGAGGATGAGGGGCCTCCTGACTCACAGCCCTCCCTGCCATCCACCAGGTCCCAGCCAAGCATCCCTCATCCAGGTACCAGCCCGGGTTCCATTTCACTCCAGGCAAGGTGAAGGCAGAGCCCTGTGGGTTCAGCCCAGGGAAGCGGCTGGAGATTCCACCTCCCACAGCCCGATGCCAGAGCCGCCTCTCCCAGGCTCACTTACCTGGGCACCTGGGTTACCCTGCTGTCCTGGGGGGCCAGGTTCTCCCTGGGGACCCTACAAGAGACAAGAGGCCAAAGCAAAGGTACTGAGGTGAGCTCTGGGCACTACACCCCAGGCTTGGAGCCTTGCCACGGCCCCAGTCCTGGTCGCCCCTCCTCCCTAACTGCTTCTGAGTGCCTAGGGATAGACACACAGGGGCAGCGGGGAGAGAATGGCAGGTGGGTCCTGCTGCAGAGAATGCAGCCAGGACTTAGCACCCTGAGGCTGTTGGCATTCATGCTGACATTGGGGGCAGCCACTTGCTTATCAGATACACCTGGACACCCATCCAGAAGGCACGCAGGAAAGGAACTGACCAGGAAGATTTTATTTGGCAGAAGAGTCCCAAATCATCCTGTCACACTGAAGTCTCCTGGGCCCCTGAATGAGACAGGGGTGTGCAGGAGATGGGTCTCCCGGGGGATGTTAACACCTGCTATGCTCTGCTGACCGGCCCTGGTGCTAAACGGGCCAGGCAGGACTCCTGGCTTCCAGTGCACTGCTCTGCCACTAAGGGTGAGCACGGCTGCCGTGCGTCTATAACCTCCTCTTCATCTTCCTAGCGGCCTAGACAGCAATGGTCCTGCCTACCTGGGCAAGCAGCATGCCAGGGAAAGTCACCATGACCAGGCTGGGTCCCAGGTACTTACCACATTTCCTTTGGGGCCTGGTTGGCCATCCATACCCGTGACACCCTGCATCAGATTTAGTAAGAAAACAACACATACTGAATACAGAAAAATTAACAACCCAAAGCAAAGTCCCACCCAACCAGGCTCGGATGCCTGCCCCACAGTGCAGCAGAGGACGTCACAGTCTCTGGGGAAGGGAACAACTTGATCCTAAATCTCTTCCCCAGAGGGTTCACTGATTAGCTCACTAACCCTCCCCTAAGGGTCCCAGAGCTGCCAGGCCCCAGCATCCCAGGAGCAGGACTGGAGTTCTAGAAAAGCAGGTCAGAGGGGTTGAGAAGAGTGGAGGGACAGGCCCTGTCCTAGGAAAGCCGACCACCAGGGCAGAGCCCCCCTGGAAGCAAGGGCTTCTGCCCCCTTCCAGAATTTTTTTTTTTTTTTTTTTTGAGACAGAGCCTCAAGCTGTCCCCCTGGGTAGAGTGCCGTGGCATCACAGCTCACAGCAACCTCCAACTCCTGGGCTCAAGCAAATCTCCTGCCTCTGCCTCCCAAGTAGCTGGGACCACAGGCCCCTGCCACAATGCCCGGCTATTTTTTGGTTGCAGCCGTCGTTGTTGTTTGGCAGGCCCAGGCTGGATTTGAACCCACCACCTTAAGTGTATGTGGCTGGTGCCTTAGCCGCTTAAGCCACAGGCGCCGAGCCCCCTTCCAGAATTTTTGCAGAAGCTGCTGAGAGTTCTTTCAAGCAAGGATGAAATGTGGCATCCTGGGATTCTGTTTATAACCCAAACCACACTTGTGTGCCGGGAAAGATGGCGGCCAGTGAGGGGAACAGTAAAGCCAGTGAGCCTCAGGCTCTGCCTGCACGCCCACACCTGTGGGGGTCCTTTCTTTTGCCCACAAGCAGTAAAGACTTGCTGTGCAGAGCGGTCAGTGCACATCTGCTGCCCTGATGCCCGCATGGGCCACCAGCTAGGCTGTGGGGTCCCAAGGGTCATGAGGAGGACAGACACACACAGAGGCAGCAGGACTTACGGGAGGTCCGGGAGGGCCTGGGGGGCCCTTAGGCCCAAGCAGACCTCGTGGGCCCTGCAAGAAGAAAGAACAAAGAAAGTTTCAACTCCGCCAGGAACCCTGGCCTTCCTCTCTGTCCTAGGACTCTGGGCCCCTCCAGCCTCAGCTTCTCCCAGAGGGCCAGTGGGTGACTCCAGGTCTCCCAGAAGTGAACTAAGATGCCCTCTCAACCTGCTCCATCTCATATCCCCACCCCGTGAGCACTGGGAACTAGGGCCGGGTGCCTGGAGCTGAGGGGTGCTCAGGGTATCAGGCAGCATCCCAGGGAAAGGGGCCTTACAAATCTCTCACTGCTGATAACTGCCCAGGGCAGGCGAGCCCACAGCTCTCCTGCAGAAGTGTGGTACAATTTTACCCCACTGCCTGGAGCGCTTTTGTCCAACTCATTCCCAGCCTCCTCTGGAATCCCTCTCAGCAATGACTCTGATATCAGAGGAGCCAGGCTGCAGGGAGGGGAGGCAGAAGAAACTAGGTCTCTGATGGGAGCCCCCTGCCTGGAGGCTGGAGAGCTCAGAGCTTTTCTGGATGGCTACCCTGCCCAGGAGCTAAGCCTCCCTCCCTCCTGCATCTGTGGGGGGCCTGTGAGAAGAGACCTACGCCCTGTGGGAGGCACAGCCCAGAGGCACCGCTGCTCCCAGCACGGTCACAGAATTTACCAGTCGGCAGGCCCTGTCTGCCAGGGGGCTGCTCCCTATGACAATCCACCGCCCTGCCGGCGAGGAATTAACCAGCCTGTGAGCAAGAGCGTGGACATCGAGTGCCCTTAAATTTGACAGAACCTTTTCAGACTCAGTAGAAGAGAATCCTTGTCATGTTCATTGCCTCTTAAATGTTTCCTTCATTATTTTAATACCTAGTCACATAAATGTTTCTTAGAAGCTAATAACCCAGAAGGTATTGCTTAGACATGTGGGAAGGAGTGAGCAGGGCTGAATTCTCCTCAGCAGCTAATCAGACATCCAGGGTGTAATTTAGTCCCAGATGAATCTACAGATGCCAACCCCTGCCCTCTTCGATGCCGCATTTGCCATATTTCTCATCAATTAGCATCGCCAGATGCACACAGCTGCACAGACTCAGGTAATGAAAAAAGAGATAATTTAAAGCAACAGTGAGTGGAAAGTAATTAATGTCCTTTCATCATCGAGGAAATTTGCTTTGGGCCTACGTATGAGTCAGCCCGGGGTAAAGACCTCCTCCATGCCAAGGCTGGGCCTGTGCTGGAGGGCCCCACTTTGGGATAGCACAGGACAGGGCTGGTGCAAACCCTGACAGATTCAGGCTCTGTGACTGCCCAGACCCCACCACATCCCTCAAGGGCCCACATGTCCTCCCACAGGAAAAGTGCAGACCAGCTCCTGGGAGCTGCCAACCAGCCTACTGGTTGTCCTCTGTCTTCTTCCCCTGGGAGATACCCAGATTTGTCTGACCACGAGGCTGAGCCCCTCTGCCTGTCACCGTGCTGACCTTCCACACTCCCGCCACCCAGGCAGTGGACTTACAGGCTCCCCAGGCAGTCCCCTGGGCCCAACTTCGCCGTCATCACCCTATGGAGGAGAAAAAAGGCAGGATTTTAGGGACAAGCCATAAAGCCTGGACACAGTGAGACCATTTTCCTACATCAGTGGAGAAGGGGTCTTTGTCCTGAGGCTATGCCAGCATTTGCTGGATTTATCAGGCTCTGTGCCATCAGGAGCTCCTGGGAGCTGTCAGGTGGGCAGACATGGGGTGATAGGCCAGGCCTGGGGCTGAATGCCCATTCGGGAACTCACAAGCCCCCACTCCAAAGCAAAGCTAGGCAGAGAGACTGAAGGCCATGGTTCACTTCATGAACAAAGTATACTCAAGTGGGCACACCAGGGGAGAGCCAGAGATCCCTGGCCACCCCCTGTGGAGCACACCAAAAAGAGCCTTTTCCTTCTGGCTCTAGACAGGCGCGCCAGGTTCCACCAGCTCACACCAAGGGCCACTTGCAAGCATGCTGTGCCTGTTTAACATGCCACGGCTCCCTCCCACCTCCCGCAAGTGCAGTACATGCTCTCCCACGCAGCCTGCCTGCTTGTGGGTGCACATCTCACACATACACCCTGATGCCTGCGGTCATACGCAGCCATGCACATATATGTGTGCACACACACGCACACACACGACCACACCTACACACACGCACACAGGCACACACATTCCATGCACCAACATGCAGACACCCATGCCTACATGCATGCACACCAGGACACACATGCATCCCACAGGCCAAAACACATACAGCCATGCCTACATGTATGTGCATAGGGACATACATGCATCCCATGTGCCAACACGCATGTGGCGATGCCTACATGCACGCACACCAGGACACACATGCCTACATGTATGCACACAGGGACACACACGCACACAGGCACAGTTAAAAACAGCATACATTCACACGTGTGCACACAGACATACACATACACACAGGGACACATTCACATATATGCACACACATGCACACAGTCACACACATTCACACACATGCACAGTTGCATGTGGTCACACACAGGCACATAGTCACAGACACAGTCACACACAACCACACACCGGCACACACATAGGCACACACACACACAAACAGGCACATAGTCACAGACACAGTCCCACACACCAGCATACACACAGGCACACACACACAGTCAAACAGGCACATAGTCACACACAGTCACACACATATGTGTACATATGTTTCCTCTGAATTAAGAAGCGCAGACATCCAGATGCTCCCTCTGTCCTTCCTCATCTTACAACAGACTGTGCTGAGGCCTGAAAGCTCCTCAAACAGAAGCGTCACTCCCCTTCCAGGGCTTCCCCAGGGCTCCTTAAACCTTTTCCCTAAAACCCCCCTAACACCCATAGACACTGTCTGAGTGCCTGAGGTGCATGTAGGGAGAGGCCAGTGGGGCCTGTGCCGTAGTCCCCCCCAAGCTATGGCCTAGATGTGGCACTCAGCCTCCAGCCCCATGCGGACATTGAGTGCAGATCCCAAGTGCTGCAGGTGCACACACCCCAGGCCCTGAGCTCCCATGGAGAACAACTCCCCTCCTGTGTCATTGAACTGGTCACCTGCCCCCCTACCTCTTGAGCATGAAGGTTAATCCCACCACCCTATTCTGTTCACCCAAATCCTTGTGCTTGGCCCCTGGGCACCTCCACCCAACTCCCCAGCTGGGAGAGATAAGCAGAGACACTGAGCTCAGTGAAATCTCCCAGGGGGCTAGGGTGCCTGCCACCTGCAGTTACAGGTGCCCTTTCTGAGACCCAAGAGAGGTGATATGCTCCCCGGCCGCACCCACTGGCAGGAGGGACAAGGCCAGTGCAAAGGCCTGTGACCAGCATTATCTCACACACAGCGCAGCCGCCTCTCCACACGAGGTCACCTTCCCACTCAGAATTCTCTTCCCTCTCCCACCCCGCCCCCACGAGCAGCTGGCCAGCCCCACTGCCTCAGGCCTTTCCCTAAACTCACTGAGGAGCAGGGCAGGCAGATGCAGCTGCAGAACGCTGGGATACCTACCCTTTCTCCATCATCTCCTGGAGGGCCAGGGGGGCCAGAAGGACCAGGGTCACCCTAGGAGGTGAACAGGGCCAGTGTTAGCCTCTCCTGAGCAGGCCACCCAGGGGTCTCTCGAGTTCCCTCTTTGTTTTTCCCTAATTCTGGTAGTGAGACTCCCACATCCTCAGATCAGTCTTCCGGTATGGGGGAGATTCTTTTGAATATGCGGTAGGCTGAGGGCTGAGGCTGGTTGTGGAGACTCACCTGAGTCTCATCTGGGTGGCCCAACAGCAGGAGGGTTGCTACATGGGGACCGAGTGGACTGCACAGGGCCATAGACACACACACAGAGCCAGGTCCGAGCTAGTCTCAGCCTGCATTCTCTGTGGGAGCAGGGCCACGTCTGCAGCCCCACCTTCACACCCATGGAAACAGCCACCAGCTAATGGCTGCAGAACTCGCACACAATCAGGCAGGGACTGCCTTCCTGGCTGTGCAGTTCTCACATCATTGTTGGAGAAGACAGATGCAGCACTTTGGATAAATTGCAACAGCCACTTTTCAGTGTATTATGGAATATAATAGATAATTGTTACTGGCAAAATCAACAAACCTCTGTGCGAGTTTGTATGCATGTACATATGTGCCTATCTGTCCTCAATGTACTAAAATATAAAAGAGGCATCAGAGAAATCTACTCCAAAAAGAAGATGGTAAGAGAGAAGCCCTACACCAAGCCGTAGAGGCCCCCGCACTGTTTTCTTACCCAACAGGGGTAAGAAAGCCTGGATGGGCGGCCAAGTATGGCCTTCCCCTCACTGTTCCTTAACAGGAACAGCCACTGGAGACCAGCTCTAAGCCCCCAGGACCACCACTCTCATGGTGCAATAGTAGCTTATTGGATCTCCTACCCTGGGACAAGATCTCAGGAAACACAGGGTGGACTTCCAAAGGGAAGGGCCCATTCCTCACACCCTTTCATGCCCCTGCAGTGAGTGGGCCCATTTGGCTCATTCACTATAAGCTGCAGATAAGAAGTCCAATTTCTGGGTGGTGCCTATGGCTCAAAGGGGTAGGGTGCTGACCCCATATGCCAGAGGTGGTGGGTTCAAGCCCAGCCCCAGCCAAAAAAAAAAAAGATTTAGAAATCTGATTTCTTTGGACTAACAGAGACATCCTCCTGGGGTTCATCTGCATTTGCTGACCCTCGTGAGGTTCCTGTGCGGACCATGTTGGAATGGAGGGACCTGAGCCCGTATAAGAGATCTTCGTGGAGGGGCCTCTCGAGAAACCCCTCCACCGCACAGCCGTTTCTCTTCCTGAGAAAGTACTTACCCTCTGTCCCTTCTCACCTGGCAACCCAGCCAGGCCATCAAAACCACGGTCACCCTGCAAGGAACACAGAAAGGCCACTTCAGATGACGCTGTGTAAATGCAGATGAGTGATGGCCGCCCTTCCTGGGGCCATGCTTCCTGCAGCACCTAGGTACCTTGGACCCTTGTTGGCCACTGGCCAACCCTCCCACCACATCCAAGCTCCTCGCCCCCAAACACCAACACAGGCTGCAAAGGGAGAGGTGACTTTTGTCCCCACGTCCCAGGCCCTGGGACTTACGGACAGTCTTGTAGTATTCCTGACGGCAGCTGCAGCCTCCATGTGCACAGGCACAGAGACTCTGTCTGTCTGCCCAGTGCTGTGACCCAGAGCCCAGCGGGCTGCCTGCCACATAGAAGGTGCTCACACTCTTTCACTGGCTGGCCCTGCTCACCCTGGCTCCCTGGCCAGCAGGAACAGAGTCCTGCCTCAGACCAGGTGTTGCAGACCATGTAGGGTGATGTCCAGGGCAGGATGTTTTGGGTTTTCAGTCATTTTGTTGTTGAAAGAAGACCTAGTACACTGGGACAGACCCAGTAACACTGTCTTCTCCATCCAGCACCCCAGGCTACCTGCTTGGCTCAGGGCTCATGGGAAGCACGGTGGAGTCCAGCCATGCCAGTTCACAGGAGAACAGGGATAGTGGACACCTGGCATTTGCTCGTGACACAGTCCTTATCCCCCCTTCTATATAACAGCTACTGTCCCCATTATGGGTTCCTCAGTTACAACTCAGGCACCTCCCGTGGCCTTGGACAAATGCTTGCAGGGGCTGAGAAGGGGGGCAAGAATGGGGAAGGTGCCACACACCAAAGGGTAGAGGGTGGACACACCCAAGCACAGCGGTGGCCCCAGGGGATGAGCTCCTGGTGCAGCGCTTGTCAGCGCCCACATGCGGGCTCCAGAGCACAGACAGCCCCTGCCTGGATGAGACTTCCAGCCCCTGACACTCGCCCTGCAGTGCAGCCGCAGCCCCTGCACCTCCAGGAACAGTCTCATGGTTGGTCCCACCCCAACCGGGGCGCACCACCTACTAGAAAGGAGAAACCACCCACTCCGAGAAAACTAACTGGGATGGTCACACTTGCTTGTGAAATAAGTGCACGGAGTCCCGCCTGTCTTCATGTCAGATGCCAGAGCAATTGACCCAAGTGAGAGTCACTTGTCATCATAACCACAGCTGTCACATAACCAGTGTCCTAGTGGCATCATCAGTGTGACCACAGGGGTGAGGGGCCTGAGACCCAGAGGCACCAGAGGGCACACAGCAGCCTACCTTGGGGCCAGTCTGTCCAGGCATTCCTCTGGCTCCGTCACTCCCGGCCCGACCCTGGAACAGAGAAAAAGTGTCAGTACAAAAGAGCCTGCTGTCACCGAGAGCCCTGAGCAGTGGCTTTCTAGTAAAGCATGTGAGGACACGCCTGCCACGGGCCCCAGCCTGCATGGCCAGACTGGTCAGAGGACCTGGATGCACTATGTCTCACACCAAAGGACTTGACATGTGGGGCTGGCCTTTAGGGGTCATCCTGAACTGCCAAAGGGGACAGTGCCACTGCCCCTTCAGGTTTTGAGAGGACAGCATGATGCAGCGGATGAGGCCACAGTGGGGAAGAAACCAGCATTGAGCCGTCATCGTGGGGGACATCAGTATGCAGCCCATGAGAGGGTGTGCTGAGGATGTGACGGCAGGATGGCGCCTTTCCACTACTCAGAAGGCAAATGAAAGGCCAGAGACTCAAATGGGAGAGAAAGATCTAGGCATCCTCAAACTACGGACCGCGGGCCACACTCAGCCCACCTAGGACATCTTCTGGCCCGCTGGGTGTTTTTGCCACTGCTGCCTGTCCTACTTAGCAGCCGACTCATCCTGGGGCCTGCAGTCTGGCCCTCCAATGGTCTGAGGGACAGTGAACTGGCATCCTGTTTAAAAAGTTTGGGACTCCTGAAAGTAGTCCATCTGACTCAGGAAGATAGCAAGGCCTGGAAGGGCACCTGTCTCTTGGACCACACGGCTGCCCAGACAGCCTGTCCCTAAAGCAGCCAAGGATAAGCCCACCTTGTGTGATGAGGGGTCCACCTGACCAGCCATGGGCTGGGGAAAGGCCTGGACCTCCCAGAGCTCATGATAAAGCTCCCTACACTCACAGGGGGAGAGCCAGCCAGGGGACAGGGACTCGCTGGCTGTTATTAAATCCAGCCAGACCTTGCTCGCCAGCAAGGCCCACCCTGTTCCCCATCCCCATGTACTCTCATATAAGGAGGCCATCGCCAAGCAGAGGGCACCTGGGGCACACGGGGAGTGGCAGCCTTGGGTCCCAAAGTACTGCCAAAACAGCAGAGGCAGCCCCTACGAACAGCAGACCAGACAGAAGGATCTGGGCAGGTCACAGGGATGTGTCTGCATCAGGGGAAGGAGGAGACTTGGGGTGAATGCTCAGCTCACAGAAGGTTCCAGTTGGTACTCCAGGGCAGTGCCGCGCCCTGCCTGGCAGCCCAAGGGCCTGCAGGAGCCTCTCCTGAAATTTCTAAATGCTTTTAGAAATCAAGAGAAGTCTCTCAGAGAAGTTCACAGGCACAGCATGACACTGTCCTGCTAAACACTGGGACACTTCCATAACCCACAGGGACTTGCTCCCTACAGGCTACCCTGGCAAAGATCTTGGGAGGTTGCTTAAATGCCAGGAGCCTGGCCTGCAGCTCTGGGCCCCATGGCCACTGTCCTCTCTTCCCAGGGGACCCATGGGGCCTGCTTCATGCCCGGCAGCACTCATGGCCCTAACACGATTGCACTCTGCCACTGGCCACATGAAAACCTCTTCCCTTATCTTCTCTCTTTTATTCCTGGTAAGGCTAGACAGTTATGTGTTTACGAGATACATAGGAAACCTTAAGGGAATAAAATATTTTTCAGAATCTGAACCAAGATAAATCACGCAATTGTCAACCAAGAATCACAGAATTCCAGCTTGGTGGCCCTTTGGCATCATCCAATCCAGCCCCCCACTGGTGCCCGGATCCCTCCCCAGGTCCCTGGACCTGCCACGCCCCAGCTTGTTCATTTTCACTCACTATCTACAGTTCATTCCCAAGATAGGGCACCTGGAACCAAGAGGGAATTACTCATTTTTGTCATTAGACTCAGAAACTGAAGCTGCTAAGTGGTAGCTTGGGTGGACAGCGTGGCTGGAAGAGGCCCAAACACACACAGCACCACGCCAAATACTGTCACCAGAAACAGTCACTGACTGAACAGGTCCATTTGTTAGATGTGACGAAGGTTATCTGGTGTCCAGCAGTTTATAAACACACACCCTCTTTCAGCAGCCATAGTCAGGTGGGACACGCTAGCTCCACCCAGGAGGACAACATGCCAGCCAGACAGTGCCAGGTAGCTGGGAAGCCGGTCCCCTGGCTTCAGCAGGCACCTGGCTGTTCTCCCTAAATTGGGGCCATTTCTGCAGATATGATGCTTCCCCAGAGACATAAGGCCCACTGATAATTTTACCTTCACGACACTTGCTGCCCAAGTCCTGGGAAATTGCTTTAATCAAAAATGGTTATCAAACTGGATGAATGTACTCAAGGCAGAGGCTAGGTGGCAGGGACAGGTCAGCTGTATCTACCCCCAGGACACAGAGCAGCTGGCTCAGATGTGGCTTTGGAGATGGACATGCCCTTCAAATGGAGTAGAGCAAGCTGCCTTGTGCTAAGAGCTTGGCCTGTGCCTTGAGGCACTGTAGAGGGGGCAGCTCCACCCTAGACTTGGGCTCCATCAACCCAAACTGTGGTCACTGAACCACAAACTCATGGGCATCAAACACATACCCGTCTTCCAGGCTTCCCCGCTGGACCAGGTGGACCCTGCACTCCTCGGGGACCCTGGCAGGAATCAGAGGACAGAGAGTCAGTGGTGGGTCTGTCTTTTACAGAGGAAAGAGCAAAGTCTTGTCCCTGAGCTTGCCAATCCAGCCCGTGACTTTTGGTCCCATCTGCCAACATGGCATTGCGGGGACAGCCCTCTTCCAGAGTGAGAGTCAGGGACAGGAAACAGAGCCAGCTCATTCCTGCCACCTCCAAGTCACTTCTGTGCCACGTGCAGTGTTGCAGGAAGCCATGACAATCCCACTCATTTCCTTGAAGAAAAGCAGCAGCCGGGGCACCATCACCCTCACAGTCACTGCACCCAAGAATGGGGGTGCCCTCCAGAGAGCAAAGGCAACGTTCCCACATACCTGAGGCCCCATGTCTCCCGGCTCGCCCTTCAGTCCTCCGCTCCCAGGAGGCCCCTAGGAGACAGTGCTGGGTTAACACCTGCTCAGAGGAGAGTTGGGAGCAGGGGAAGGCTGCTGGGGTGGCCGGGGGAGGGGACAGGGAGGGCTTCGCCCCGTTGCCAGCACACAGTCTTTAGCACCCAGAGCCCGACTCACTGACTCCAAGAGAACCAGAGCAGGAGAATGTCTGGGCTTCTTCCTAATTTGGAGCTAAACTCTAGACTGGGGAGCTCCCCAGAACCACAAAGCTCATGGAGACGTTTCTCTCCAGGACAAACTCGACTCTGGTCCATCATAGCCCTCAGCTCTGGGCATGTGTACACATTCTATGGGCATCTGGGAAAGGTGCCCTGGAAGTGGGTGGCCGGCCCTACATCAGCCCCTATGAGCAGGGGACTGAGCCCAGACCCAGTGATACACAAGTGCTGAACCTCCTGGCAACCTCACATGTTGTGGAGAGCCCAGAACCCAGCCACCGTGCCCATCACTGAGCCTGCACCTGAGGGAGACCTGGGTGAGAGCTAAGAAGGGCCGAGCAGGGCCAGGCTGGGACCCAGTGCCTGTCCTACACTGAGTTATCTTGATTCTGAAACAGGGCTGCCATGATTGATGGGGCCCTGGATGAAAGAAGCTTGGACCCCCAGTTCACCAGGCAAAGTCATCGCCAGTCTGAGGGAGGCTTCTGAGACTTCCCTAAGCCCCTGTTCCTCAAAGGGGCCACACTTACGCCGAGGTGCCCTTGACGGCAAATGTGGGGATTACAGCTCGTGGTGTGTTCTCTGCAGGGTGAGTTCTAAGCTCACAGTACAGGGGTGAGGAGGAGCCTGTCCCCCGCCCCCCTCAGCTCTTCCAAGTCCCTTCCAGTTTAGACAAAGGTGGGGGATGTCTCCCTGGGATGGCTGATGTCAGTTCTACCTCAGACTCCCCCCAAAGCAACCTCAAGGCACTGTCAAACCCCCACCCCACCCCCTCACACAGGGCTGAAGTAGCACCAGGACACAGCTTGTCCGTACTGGGCACAGAGACTGGCTGAGGGACACTCTGTATCCACATAACTATATGGCCACCCACCACTGTCCACTGCGGACACAGGCAAGGCCAGCCCAGACGGGGCACCCAGCTCCCAGACCACCAATGACTTACCATGGGGCCAGGCCTCCCGGTAAGGCCCATCGGGCCAGCTGGTCCCCTCAATGCCAGCTGCAAAGGAAGCAGAGACATGCTGAGGAAGAAGCAAAGCAGGAGGGAAGGGGCAAACTGGACAGGGACTGGACAGGGCAAGGACGGAGGCTCTGGGAGCCCACCCACCTTACTAACTGGGCTCCCAGCGCCGACCAACACGCCGAAGCCAGGGTGGCTTCCACCTCCTCTGTCTGGGCCTCCCCAGCTCCTTCCTCTCCCCTACACTGCGAGGGCCGCTCCTGCCCCTCCCTCACCCCTTGCTGAACTGGAATGAGCCTCCCTGGCTGGGGGGAAGGTGCTGGGGGCGTTTGCCGGGGAGATCAGGCTGTGTCACCGCACACTTTCTGTCTCACAGGAGGCACCTGGAGCACACTCCAGCAGCTGGGGAAGCATTTGGGGGGATAACGAACCCCACACCACCCTGGGCTCTCTGTCACCCATGACCCCATCTGGAGGTGCGCCCACCTGCCACCTCACAGGCCCCACCTGATTTCCCAAAGAACTGCTTCTCCTGCACATGACTCTGTTTCCCCAGCGGGATGTCATGTTTATTTCAGAAGTTTATTTTACATTATGAAATCTTCTCCTAAGCCCATCACTCACTTGGCTTCAACTGAAATATCCACAGATAAAATGCCAGCCAGGCAGGCGCAGGTCAGTTAATCTAGCTACAGGTAATAAGGTTTGCTACACGCCATCCTGCATCACTCCGGCAATTTGTTCCATAGCAACGACTCTGTACTTACACCGTCCTGTAATTACCCATGCCCCATGATCATTAACATCGACTCCGGGCCGCTCAGGGAGCCACACAAATATTTCCCAAACAAGGCATTATCTAGAGCTTCACTGCATGCCCCACTGAAGGATCACCCGCCCACAGGGCAGGGTTTACTCCTATCATGGGCAATCAGCAATCTGGAGCCGTGTCAACTAAAAACGCAGTTCACTGGTTAGCTAACTTATGGCAAGGAGACCAGCACTCCTCTGTAGACCCTGCTTCTTAAGAACCCCCAGAGAGCCATGGGGCTCTGGAGCCCAGGGGCTTTCACCTAGAGGTGCAAAGAAGACACCACTTACAGGAGCCACTGGGGTTTCTCTCTGCGTTTTGGGACCCCAGCAGAGTGTGCACATGCGGGGTGGGGGTTCAGCCCAGGGTAGAGGTGGCCCGTCAGGAAGTTAGAATCTGGACCCTCAGAGTGGATAAGGACCCCGAGAAACCCACCAGACATCCCTCAGGACACCGAGAGCTGATGCTCCCATGGCTCCACCCCAAAGGCAGGCACACTGGGCTCTGGGAAGCACTTCCCTCCAAGCCAGGCCTGAGCCAGTCCCCCAAGTCACATCAGCCTCAGGGCTGGGCTGTCCCCTCAGCCAGGACCCGTGCTACTCACCCTGGCCTGCTGCAGGATGGCTTGCGCTTGGGACTCCTGAGCTGAGACCATGGGGCCCTTGGAGCCAGCATCACCACCGCCACCAAATCGGAACTGCAGGTGCAAGGTAAAGGTCACCCTGACAAACACCACCCAGCCAGCAGCACGGAGCTGCCCGGCCCCAGGTAAGCCTAAAGCCCTAGAAAGCCCTTTCTGGTGTCAGAGCATCTCCCCTGACACCCCACAGCCCCCAGTTATTGTTGAGAAAACCCAGGAGCAGAATGGAAATGGCTGCATCAAGGAGGCCTAGAAAATTGTTCCTGCTCCATGCTGGGCCCTGACTGAGCCACGATCCTGGGCACCAGGTGGATGGGCAGCACCAGGCTCTGGAAAGCAAGTCTCAGTCATGAGACGGATGCCCAAGACCAGCACTCTGCACACCTGCTACAGCCCAGGCAAGGGGCTCACCCTCCTGCTGCCTCCCCAGCAGACCTGCAAGGTCAGGGGCAGGTCAAGCTCAGGCCTGAGTGGGAGGTGGGTGCTGGTGACCAAGGGGATGCATGCACAGTTTTCTTTCAGACAGAAGGGCACCACTGCCTTTCAGAGATGAACCCAGCTCAGACACCTGGCCCGCCCAGTCTACTCTGCCTCATCAGCAAGATGCCCCGGGGAGCTCAGCTCACCGAGCCTGAGGTTCTAAAGGTCAGCTTATGATCATTTCTAGAAAATGCCTGTCAAGAGCAGGGGCCGCTGTCTGAGGTGAGCCAGGGCTATCCTGCCTGTAAGATACACCTCAGGGCTAACATGAGATGCCGCCTGTATCAGGTGCCCCAAGGAAAAGCCTGAGAACTAAACATCACGGTCTTCAAAGGGGGCTTGGTGTGAGCACCCCACCTTCTCACAGGCCCACTGTGACGCGCGGGGTGCTTGGGGCTGAGGGGCAGGGAGGGTGCGCCCAGCGGGGCCATCACCCGTGGCAGGGCACTGGGCCCTGGGCCGCCCACGGAGCCTGAGAAGCAGAGACCAGAGGGACTCCTCCACAATGTGATGGACACGAAAGACAAACGTGCCTCATTTGGACACGTTGCTGAGATCCAAATCTAGAAAGTTCTGGAATGAAACCACCATGGGTACAAAAGGTGGCAGATGACCCCTGAGGGTAGCCTCCAAGGCCACACCTTGGTGGCCCCCAGCTGACGAGCACCAGCTGATGCCCTGGAGAGCTGAGCATGTGACCTCATGTGACAGGAATGGAGAAAGGCCACCCATGACAAGAGCCGGTTTCAGGAGCCCCCCAACCTGGGCCCCACCCAGGAAGGAGTGTTCCTGTCCTCCCAGACAAGGATACTCACAGGCAGCATGAGCATGGTCCCCGGAGGGCCGGGCAGGCCATCGGCCCCAGGAAGGCCGGGGCGTCCAGGGGGACCCTGTGGACAAGAAGCCAAGACAGCTGGGTCAGCACCACTGGGGACAGAGTGGGGCTGTGGTGAGAGTGGGCCGATCGGAAGACCCAGCCACCGGGAATATCCTGGGAGTGCTCACAAGGACGCGGGACCCCATGGCAGGGAGCCCCAGAAAGCCTGTCCCAGACGAGGGAGGGACATCAGCATGGCTGTGAGCTGAGGATCAGGAAAGGCAGGAGCGCTGATGACAGAGGGAGGCCTGGGCTGGATCTCCAGGAACTCCGGGAGAGGGAGGCGGAGGCTGCCTCCCAACAGGCCTTGGCCGGACTCTGCACAGTGACCATGAGCCAGGAGGAGGGTGGGGGGTGCCAAGGCCCCTCCTCCCAGGGGCCCCTCCTCCCAGGGGCCCCTCCTCCCAAAAGCCCCCTTCCTGGTCCCCACATCCAGCAAGACACCAGAAGTCGGGGCTCAAAGGCCCAGTTCATCCTGTGTTCCCAGCAAGCGGCTCCTCCTTCATCTGGGACCAATCACCTGCCTGTGGTTGCTCAGATGGAAGTTGTGACCAGGTGTCCACTTACTTAGACATGTAAGGGTACGGAGTAAATGAAGGGACCATCCACGAGAATGCAAACTCACCTGGAACAACTTTGAGAATTCTACTTACACAAACAACACAGCCCTCTCCCCAGACCCAGCTACTCTGGCCTGTAAGGCAGGACCAAGGCAACGCCACAGGGCTGGTTTCTCTAGAGCAGGAATTCTCAACACTGGTGTCGCAGCGCACTGCTGTGCTATGAGTGGATCTTAGGTGTACCACAAAAATTTTTAAATCACTAATTAAACTGTTTCAAAAGAAGTTCAAAGCATAATAAGTATGTTCCTATTATTATTCCTTTTTTTTTTTTTGAGCAACATAATTTAAGTATGCCAATGAAGTTTATATAGATTTAAGTACACTGTGAGATAAAAAAAAAAAAAGGTTGAAAATCACTGCTCTAGAGTAATCTGGCCGGCTTCAGGACCATACAAGTGTAAAACCAACAAAGTGTCTTGTTTTCAGAACCACGTGTTATCAACAACTAGTTCACCAACGTGGGCAGACTCTGATGGGCTCTGGGCAGATGATAGGCGTTCTGCATAGAAATGGAAGCTTAACCTCCCAGAGCGGAAAGGACCCCAGGGCCACAGTCCAGGATAACTGATGCGGGACAGCAAAGCTCAGAAATGTGCGATTCAGCCCAGATCTCCAGCTGGGAAAGACCAAGAACATGGATGAGAGCTCTCTAGAAGGGTGTGGAATCGTCTGGGCCTGAACCAAAACTCTCCTGCCTTTCTGTAGGTAAAGGTGACCACCCAAGGGACTGTAACAAACTGGTCACCAAACTGGTCACCATAACTGGTGGTTTACATAAGGAACTAGGCCTACCATACTGACGTGAACATGAGGCTCATGTCCAGTCTGTAAAAATCAGCTGGGTGGCGCCTATGGCTCAAGGAGTAGGGTGCCAGCCCCACATACCAGAGGTGGCAGGTTCAAACCCAGCCCCGGCCAAAAAAGAAAAACACTGCAACAAAAAAAATCAGGTCACCTTGTGGGGCGGTCAGTGCAGGGAGGTGGTCAGCAATGGAGGCACTACTGTAGTTACTTTTCTGTATGTCTAAGAGGTACCTCATGTTCCTGAGAAATGTATAATAGTGATTTATGGAGTGAAAGTGAAATCCCCTTTTGTCTCCAGATACAACCAGCACTCAAGTTCTGCCCGTGCTACCAGGACTAGCTGGAAACTGGCATGCCTGACACGCGGCATCTGACGCCCCCGTCACTGCACAGGGTGTGCGGCTGGAGAGGAGCCTCTGTTCCAGCGGGACAGTCCCTCCCTGTGGCTCTTCAGTTTCTCTCTCTCTCTTCACTGTCAGCGACGGCCCATTTCAGAGGAGCCTCATCCTCCTCTGCTTCGTGCCTGGAGAGTTTCCCACGCATGATAACTCTCTCCTGGTACACAGTGCATCGCTGCCAGTTCGCACCATGATGAATAATGGCGCCTTCTGCTAGATAAGTCCCTATGAGCAGAATTACCAGGTCCAAGGATTTACACCTTTAAAAAAACACATCCATGGACACTGCCAAATTGCTCTCACCTGTCATTTTGGAAAAAAATTCTCAGAAGACAAGAATCTGTTTAAGAAAGAAAGACTAGGCTCGGCGCCTATAGCTCAACCGGCTAAGGCGCCAGCCACGTACACCTAAGGTGGCGGGTTCGAATCCCCAGCC